ACTTAATATTAATGATAAGAAGGATTATGGTTATCGATAAAGGTAACAACAATTTATCTGGCAGTGAGAGAGGCGTACGAATTTTTTTATAAAACGTACTAATATAATATTTATTGTTGTAATAAACATCGTAATAATATAATATCACCTCTGGCACAATCTCACGATGGCAAGACAACGCGACGGTAGTAAAACAATCGTACTCTGGGTATTCTTGAATCCTATCCTTCAACATATCTTCCGACTTTATTACGGTGCTCGTGCCGTTCTGTCAACCCGCAACGGTTTTTTTATGCATTCTTTATATATATATATATATATACATATATAAAATATATTTTATATATATATATATATTTCTAACAATAAGTCTAAAGCCCGCGGGCTTGTTCCACGTCGCCATTTACGTTGTTTAAGTACGGTATCGGGACAGTCCGAAAAATCGTCGCAAGGGAACCCCGAAAGAATCCACGTATATAAGTTTACAGCCTCCAAAAAAGCGGAAGCGATAACAAATAGAGAGACGCGATTTCCAATTGCCACAGGCAGGCACGATCGTTCCCTCGCGACGACGCTGGTCCACCCGAATTTTATAACGTAGATAATAATATTAATAATCGTAAGGATAATAAAGGGATAATACTATTATAATAAGATGGCTTGATGAGAAAGACACAGCCGTTCGTTCACGTAACGAGTCGTATTTTCTGACCTCATTTCGAGATGCAACGGCAGCGGTCAAAGGACAGGGGATGATGGGCAAGGGATGTTATAATTACGCGAAAAAATGTCATGGACTAAAGCTAACTATAACAATCTTGGTTTCGTACATCTATCTTGTAGAAATTGATTCCGTAAATTCTATCTATATCTCTCTTGCATTCTTTGACATTTCTGTACGCAGGGCATTCTGAAATATTCATTCACGCACACTCTTTCTCTCAATTTCTGTCTTTCTTTCTATATCATTTGCATTCTCACTCGTGAATACAAACACTCATCTTCGTATAAAAATAATAATAAGATTTTATAATAATATATAATAATATAATATAATTATAATAATATGTATGATCTTACGCGTAATTGAATAGAATCCATAAAATTAATAATATCCATCTATATGCTATTTGCAATAAATGTAACAAAAAATATTACTCAATAATAATATGACGTTTTACAAGCGTATTTTGATCCTTGCTTTGATATCGAAATATATCGATGTACATATGATTAACATCAAACGAGCAAAAAGTCGTGACCGTATAATTGTCCTACTCTAATCTAACGGCTCTAATATAATTGGCAACAGATACGTGTATATGTGTCTTATTTCTGTATATGTACGTGTATGCGAATGAATGGGTATTTGTATTGTCTCATCACGCATGTAGCATATGTGCGCCATTAAATGCGCGACATAGGTTGGCAAGCGGCTCCGCATTCACCGGTGGCACATTAAAGTTACTTCAATTTAACCTTACGAACTACATAACCACGAATTATTGGTAGCGATTTCGATAATATCGTGAACCTCATGACAACTCGAAGAAAATATCATCATCTTTGTCATAATTGGCATGAGCTTTTATTTCGCACAGATTTTGAATCAATATCTCGAAAGACAGAGAACTTAAGATACGCACTCATCAAAATAAAATACAAAAATAATATAACAATAATTTTATATTCTATAAATACATAATATTCTTAGAATATGAATTATTTATTCTTTTTAATATAAATATTTTTATGATATTATATATAATTTTATAATATTTATATAAATATATATATATATATATTTCTAAGAATATTATGTTTCATAGGATATTATTGACAGTATTTGATGATATAACTTGATAACAGATAAGGAGAAAACGAGGAAAATCCAAATTATGTTCTATTTTTATTACCAATTTGAGTCAAACTGTGTAACAAGTATATTAAATTCTACTTGATTTTGGAATCTGCTCATTAATTTATCATCATATTCTGTTGGTACAAACTTTAATATGTTTCTACTAACAAAAATAGCTACAGATTTAACGTAGGAGATCTGTAGCTTTTCTGCTGATAAAATTCGGAACAAAAATTATTAGAAAGATAACTTTACTCGTCATTTTATGTCTCGGATATAAAAGAATAATCACATGATACTTCATTATTTTTCTTTCAGAGGAAACAACACTAACTACTTTAGTTCCGAGATATTGAATCGTTATTTTATCCTCCAATGCTTAGATTCAGTTCTCATATGCTTACATGCATGTAAAGAGATTGCATTACGGATACAGATATAGCGTGATTATATTACTCTTATTAGTCTTAAGACTTAGAAAAAGTCGTGGCTTCTCGATGCTATCTCGAGCGTGACGTGGCAGAGTATGCGGCATAGGGAGGTGATCCGGATTTCTTTTTAAACTTTTTTTTTTCATATACACGGTAAGATTTCCGCTTCAAGCCAATGTTTTTTCGCGCGCGATGATCGGCTTGCGACAGCGATATTATGAAATCACGCGACGTCTTCATGCACGCGCATAAACATGTCGGTGCTCGTAAATGTGAAGCTATAAAAGTCTCGTTAACGACAATGGGTCGGATGAGAAGAAAGTGTTGATTAGCTTTTTATGAACGGTTGAGAGATGAGATGAGATGAGAGATCAAATTTCTTGTTCTTATATTTTGGGTATGTTTTAAAATGTTTTGCGTAGAATCGATATTGTTTAAAAGATATACAAAAGAGAGCAATATCCTATTGACAGTATTTCGTTGTGTCCTTATTGATATGTGATATATGTATTAGCATAAATTTTCTAATTTTGTAATAAATAGCGTTTCAAATTGCGTGTCCATTTCTAATTATCGATGTAATCAAAATAGAAATGAAAAGACAAAGAAAGAAGCAGTCTCTTCTGACATTGACTAACACAAACATTCGGAACCATTCGTTTAATATGAAATAACGACACGTGCGTTACGATCTATACGAATTTGTAGGCTTTCGAAACTAATAATAATTTACGTTAAGACCAATACAATGCGATGCATTTCTTAAATGTTTGGGCAAATTAAGATCTAATCATCAGTGTACGAATTAAAATACAAATTAACAGAGACATGTGGGCGCATATATGCATCATATGCATCTATTATACAATATACGTATGCTTAACATATACCGGGATCCTTAAATCAATTTTGATTGATTTACATGGCGTTCGCGTTTGCAACGTGACGCTTCGATATGCTAAACTAACAATCGTTAATAAAAAATGTTCATGGAGCGCAAACAAAGTAATAACGTATCGCTTTTCGTACGACATTCTTGCACATTCGACTTGTCCCAGTCGAGTCGAAGCCCATATATATATATATATATATCTATAAGCGGAAAAGATTTATTTAACCCTTTCACATCTGATTTTCTTTAAGAGGAGAAAGTCTAGTTTAGTCATTTTTATAGTTTTGCCACTTTTGTTGAAGTTGCTAAATACAATAAATATATAATAATGTAACAGTCTAAAATGGCGGATTCAATAACAAACATAAACGTAAAAGATAAAATATATTCAAATTTAATAAAACTTTGTACTTACGATATTTGTAATGTCGTTTTCGTGGCCGCGAAATGTGGATTCAGTGTATAAAATAAAATAAAAAATAACAAAATATATATTGATAAGAATAAGGTCCAAAAGTTTTTGATCTAATCTATACCGTACAAGTTATTACCATTATACTGTTATAAACTTCTCTATCATTGAAATATAATAAAGAAAACATTAAAATGTTATAATGTTACACCTTATATATAATATAAATATTACCAGAAAAATTTATTGGAATCTATATACATATTATTATTTTCAGTTCATAATCTTTATGAAAGATAATGCTGCATGCTTTTCATTAATCAGAAAATTTCCAGATCTTCCGTACCATACAAATAACTTCCTGTATTTTTATATTCTAAGTTTTATCGCGATTCTTATCTTTCGGTATTTATAAAAAATTGATTAGAGAATATTAATTTTTGAAATTATTATACTAATATTATACTAATCAGAATACGCGCCGAAAAAAATGTTCTGGCCATCATCTTTACGCAAAAATATATAATAATATTCATCATAATATTTTTTATTAAAGTTTATTAAAGTTCTTTAAAATGAGTTTCTTTTTATGTTAATATTGAATATCTACCAGAGATATGATTTTTTAAACGTTTTAAAATATATATATTCTATGTGGACGTGAAAGGGTTGAGAAATTATAAAAATATTTATACTTATTAGATTTTTGGTAAACGTTTCGCTAATAATTATTGTATCGATAATTGTTCAAAATATATGTCTGTCAAAATATAGGCTTCGACTGTGATATTATACTACAAAGTTGAGATTTAGTTGCATATTTTCAGCTGATTTCATTATTGACGCCTTCATTAAGTATCCGTTAACTCGTTGTTTAAATACGAGCGGCAAAAAGAGAACAGTATGGGCCATGATGATACATAAAAAAAAACTTAAACAGCAAATTCAACATGTTGATTTCCTTACTACTTACGTCTTACTGCTTAAATTTGTTGTACACCGTATGGCTCTAAACATCGACAAAGAAATCTGTCTATATGCAATTAAATCTCTGTTACACTACAATTAAAATAACGTGGCATCGATTCTTCTTTGAACTATCACGTTGAAAATTCGGTGATTTTCAGAAATGTATTCTTTCTTGATTCTTCTTGATTGCTCTTGCAGGAAAATAATTAACACGTTGCTACTTGGATTTCTCTCGACTTCTTGACCATTTTTGGCAGGCACATTATCGAGTAAACTGTACAAGAATCTTCAACGTGGTGCGAAAAAAATTCGCTACTTACTTAGTAATTGTTATTATTCAACGCAAGATGTTGCTGATCCTTAATTCATCCAAGCGATCAGTTCTTGTCAAGCTTGCGTAGCGTATTTACACGAATGTTTCTTGTTCGTTCAGGTTCACGTATTACTATTGTCGTGAACATGCACATGTGCATGTGTGGAATTGGCGAGGGGTGAGTGTGGTAGATGTGGAGGCGATGAGGGTAGTTCAATGAGAGTGACGTCGTATCCAGCGGGAGAATCACTCGGATCGCCAGGATCACCCGGCGAGCCTGGATTGTTTGGATTACGTTCGCTGCTTGGGTCAGAATTGATTCGTGAGTGGCTCACCTCCAGCAAAAACAAGTCCTCATCGACGTAATATCGGATCATGTCGTCGTCAATTTTCGCCGTAATTCTGTAACAGGGTAGGGTGATGTGTTAAGATAATTTAAATCTTCTCGGCGTAACTCGCGAGCGAAAGCAGCGAATCTCGTTTCGGAAAACGTGATCATTCGAGTTGGCATGCAACGCGATAGCTTTGACCACTACAAAATATTGTGACGCTTGATGAACGAATTGTGTTCTATATAATTTTTATTGCATATGATTAACAAAATCTCTTGATATGGAAAAGCATTAAAATTTTATGGTTTAAAAATTTAGTTGTAGCTGTAAGTCTTATAAAAGAAATTCTCGTATTGCGATGAATATTACTTTTTCTATAACAGATTTAATATTTTTATAATAATTTTTTTCTTCAATTTTCTTTATTTTTACGATATTAAAATGAAATCATTACATAGAATGTTCACGAATTATCGTAGTGTTATCGAATCATCGCAGTATTATAACGGTAAAACGATGCCTATATATTGTCTTGTGATGAATCTTCAGATCTCGTAGTCAAAATGAAAAAAGTGGAGTTCGCATCGCATTATGCGTAGCTTAAGAGAAAAAAAGAGAGAGTGTAAGATAGGATTTGCTTGAATGACGTGAGATGTACATGTCGAGTAACGAAAAATATCTGTTCGAGGGAAAAGTTTCTGCAGGAATACGCAGTACGTAATCAACATATGTTGGAAAAAGTACCGGCAGAATAAATAATCAGTTGAACGAGACGCATGACGACATTAGGCGAGGCAAGCGAGGCGTGCATGAGTGAGTTTGTGACGGAAGGCAGAAGACGAGAAGCGTGAAGGATTAGTGGATTAATCAGGCGTGATTGTGCGTAGTGGTAGCGAGATGCAGTCAGCGTGCAACTACATTCGCGTTAAGGTGATCGACAAAGAGAGGACATTTTTAACGAGAGAGTACACGAGAATGGCGTATACATTTAAATACATATGTCGCAAAGAAACGTGTATCCGGCATTTGAAAGAGGCACGATCATAGGCGAGAGGGAGAGCGAAAGAAAGAGAAAGAGTGAGATAGAGAAATTAGAGAGAGAGAGAGAGAGAGAGAGAGAGAGAGAGAGAGAGAGAAAGACTACCAAACCAGGCGGAGAGAGTCAGGCAATGTCACCGTTATGGCATGCATCGCGTAGGCGTGCATGCAAGTAAAGATGACACTCTACTAAACTTACCCCTTTGTGTTTTTGCGATAGAGGTTATTAATACTCGAGGATGCAATTTTGTACTTTGACTCAATCTGCAAAATAGAAAAAAGTAGAACATTAGAATTTTGATAGTGGCTTGCGGACCGTCGTTTCGTTTCGCGCACGCACTCGAGAAAGTGGTCGCGAGACGCGCGTAGGTAGACGCAATATTACCGCGAGAATGACAGCAAGAGAGAAAGACAGAAGGATAGAGCGAGATAAAAGAAAGACAAGACAGATCGAAACGGGAAGATATAATGATGAAGAGATATATATCGCGCGTCACAAGAACACGGAGGCAGTTCGGTTAGAACGCGGTCCAAGATAGGAGATCACGCGTGGATCAATTAGATCATTCGTTCGCGGGGCGTGTAGAAACGCGACGAGAGAAGAGAAATCGTTTGACAAGAGAGAGAGAGAGAGAGAGAGAGAGAGAGAGAGAGAAAAAAAGAAAGGATGTTTTTCTTTCCACTTTTTTCTTCCGTTATTTCTGATCGGTGTAACGCGTCTCTTACGTCAATGTCCGATAGATCCTTAAGAGCTATCGACAGTCTCGCACATCCGCGGAGCAGGAAGGGTAAATATGATCGTATGTCTTGTATTATCGATTATGTATTAATGAGGATCTTGGACACAGTGGACAGTGATGCATGCGCATTAATATTAATTAGCGAATGGACCAGTGCGAACGAGTATTAATAATGGCGCAGTATGCTTTCACATGCATGTGTAATACATACTCTCTCGTGGAGCTTGTATATGTGCACGTAAAATATATGTGCATATACATATATATATATATGTGTGTGTGTGTTCGTGTACAATTTCCGCGCTCATCAAATCGTACGCAAATTGGATAAGCGAAACTAAACTGGTATCGATTGAAATCGAAACAGACATTAGTTATTTTCCGGCGTGCGACTTTATTAAGCCTGCAAGTGTTTTATCGGGGAAGCGTATCTCGATCGATGATAGCGATAGCATATTGCATTATTATTGTCTTGCTTCTCGTTCTGTTTCTAGAGCAGGCCTCGCCGACGAACGACAGCGTAGTCACGGATTAACACCCACGGTGCGCAAGTGTTTTGCATAAAACACATCACTGCTACCGTACGTATAGTTGGCGATATCGGTCGCGGTATGGAAATGGTAAGAATTTCCATTTCCCGTTTTCATTTCTACGAGGGGGCTTGTTATTTTGCCTACTTTACTACCGAATGGCAAGTATCGACTATGCTTTTGCAAATTTGGTATTAACTGCGAATGTTGATACTTGCCATTCGGTAGTAAAGTAGGCAAAATAACAAGCCCGCTCGTAGAAATGAAAACGGGAAATGGAAATTCTTACCATTTAATTAATCTAAAAGCATATTTTCCCTCGATTATGCATATTCACTTTATATATCACTGACATTTATCCCCTGCTCTAAGATTAACATTACGCTTGTGTCGTACGATTTATAGTAAAGACCGATAATTTTCTCTATACTGCGGACGTTAATAGTTCACGATGCAGAACGGGTGTCTTAATGTGCCAGCTCTACAACTTTCGCGCTATATTTCTCTCGGACGATGCAGACACAAGCAGATCGTGCGAATCGATCGTCGCAGTTGCAAAGGTCTCTTGAGATCCCTCTCTGCGCGAATGTTTGCGTGGGAATGTTTGTTGTGAGATGTCGATGTGTGTAGGCGATATAAAAGAAAACAGCTTTAGGATATTCCTTACAGCATTGAGTAGCCCCTGGACTGTTGGCGGTGTAACGTGCAGTGGTGTGTAGACATCTTCCGATTCCTGACGCACGTAAAGCATGACGCGTTCTTCGGCGTCCGCTGGGCGTAGATGTGGCGGCTGTTGTTGCAGGTGCAGCCGATTACCGACATTGGACACTACCGAGCCTGCCAGGCCGGTCTGTTGCACCCCCTGCAGCACCGAGCCCTGCAATTCCTGCACCTGCATCAGCAACGAGTCCTTCTTGTCGTGCAGGCTACTGAGATTGTCGGGCGGAAAATGGTTGTGGAACTTGAGGGCCGGTAGACTCGGCCGGGCGCATGGCGGTGGATAGGGGCTGCTACCCCCCGCCTTCAATCCTCCACCTTCACCATTACTGAGGGATGAGGTATCGGTGTCACCCCCTCCCCCGCCGCCGCCGCCGCCGCCACCACCGTAGAAGCCCGACAACTCCATCGTCGAAAACTGTCGTGGAAGAGAGAAGAACAAGGTTTATTTTTACTCTGCGTCTTTTTTTTTTCCTCGCGAGACGACCCGTTCAAATATCACATTAGAAAATAAGGAGTAACTTTGGAGCGACGTTAATATCTTTTTTTAATACATAATGTTAAAGAGATTAACGATTTGCGAACAAATTTAAAGTCAATGATGGCAAAAGAGATAAATACGAAAACTCCTCTGTTTTGATAATAAAAAAATAATGCTACACACACATTGCTGTTAGGGTACGTTCCAAAATTCAACTCTATCAATTCGAGTATTATTTTGTCCTTGTTGTTTACCGACTATTGAACAAGGATCGAAGACACTTGGAGTTGACAGAAACGAGTTTTGGAGAACGCAACTTTAGTCATAATGCAATAATATTAATTAGGATAACTCACATACTTGTTGTAATAAAACTGAAAACATAAACGATATCAATTCTTATTGGATCGCGAGAATTCAAACCGATGAGAACAAGTTAAAAACATCAAAATAAATACTGAAAGACTATTACTCCGCGCGGTTCGTTAAACTGAATTGACATAACATTTGAAAGACTGTCTCGAGAAAGTCCACGTCACTACTTTGCGATGCAAGAGTTGCGGTTAATGCAGGGTTTCGGCGGGGGTGAGAGCAGAGGATTGTGGGTGCCACACGACTTTTCTAAGTTCGTTTTGCGCCAATTAACTAATTTAGATATGCTATGATAACATAGCACACTCGTACTCGAGATATTGTACTACGATAACGTATAGCACATTCATATTTGATTCAAGAGAAATTAATAACGCAGACGTCTTATATCAAGTTTTATGCATATTAATGCAGCGTATTAAAATGTTTATTCTTATTTATAATTTATTATACATTTTTGTAAAGAGAGAGAGAGAGACAAAATCTCTTTTATAGAATTATTAACTCTCCACCGGCAATGTTGGATTTTAAAGATATAGTCGATTTTTTAATTGTGATTCCAGTAAATAAATCTGTAAAATATAAGTAAAAAATATATAAAAAAATAAAAATATTAAAAAATATATAAATTAGAACTGAATATATATTTAACTTACGGCAAATTAGATGCTATATGTAAATTTTTTTTCCTTCAAATGAAAAATAATGTAAAATAAGTAAGTAGATGTTCTGTACTTTAAGACAGTTGTCAGAAGAATAAAAGAAAATATAACTCAGATGTTTGAAATGTCAAATCCTGTTTATTATTGTGAGGGTAATAACCCAAACAAATAATCATATGCTTTGTCTAATTTTTCTATGCCTTTTTGTGCATTAATACCATTCTTTTGTTCTTTAATAAAAAGCATCTCAGAAATCAGTCTCTTATTGTAATGAGATTCAACATCCATGATCCGAATATTATTCCAATCAAAGGAATGACCAAATTGATTGCAGTGTTCCCATAAAACCGAAATCCTTGTAAGATTTCTTCTAATATCATATTTATGTTCTTTTATACTCTCGTGATCAACTTTCTTTTAGTTTGGCCTAGATATGACGAATCACAATTATTACAATTAATCTCATAAACAACATTATTCTTTTGTGTCGTATCTGTATTATCTTTGTGAACTTTAATAATTTTGTTAAGTTTATTAATATTCCTAATTCCTATGGTAAAAACATCTTTATTTAAATTAGATATAACAGAATTTGTAACTTTTGGAATATAAGGTAATACAAAAAGTGTTTTGTTCGGAAGATCAATACAGGTACTTTGATTTTCAACATGTGTTGCATGTAATTTAAAAAAAAAATTCAATAAAAAATCAATTTTTTTTTGTATTCTACTAAATATTAAATGTAAGGGATAATTATTATTTAATAACGTTGCAATACAAAATTCAATATTCTTAATATGAAATTCAGAATTTGAAAGTAATAATGCTCTATCAACCATGCCATAAATAACACCAATTTTTTGTGATAAAGGATGATTTGATAAATATGATAAGTATCTTCCAGAAAACGAATCGTTTTATGATACCAGTCTAATTTTAAAATATTATTATTTATATTAATTGTTAGATCCAGATTTGTATTGAAGTTTAAAGACTTAGGTTGTGGATGCGAAGAGTGAAAATTTCATATTGTCGTCGAAGAATTAATATTGTAATTAAACATGATCGCAATCAACATTTCTACGAGAACGCAGCAAGTTCTTATTGATGATATTATTACTTGGCCGAGTAACGTATAATATAAAAAAAAATGATGTGATTACCTTATCGATGGCGTGTTCAGCCGGTGGGGAGAACAGTACAGGCGGTTTGTGCAGGTCGACCATGGAGTAAAACTCGCTGCGCTCTGTAACGGGGTGATAAAGCTCGTCGAGCTTTTTCCTACCAGTCGCTGTCATCTTCCTCTTAGCCGCGCGTCTCTCTTCATCCCGAGTCTTTCTCTCTGCTCCCTACGATAAGCAACATCATCTCTCAACTTAATTTCAGCGATCACATTGCGACCAGGAAGCGATCGCGCGTTATTTACATCGCAAATGAAGAGGGAAAGAAGGGGAGATAAACGTATGGAAATGCAGAAGAGCAGTTACCTTATCGCAGAAGACCTTAATTTGACAGTAGCCGCGATGGGAAGGCGGCGTATATGTGTGCGTGTGAGGCGGTGGTTCCTCGTATGTGTCGACCTGGATATGCAGTGGCAAACCCTTCACGCCTTTCTGACTCGAGAAATCGGTACTGAGACATTGCACCGCCACGTTTATCTGTGGATCAGAAATCGGACAGGTAGCAGCGACGGCAGCGGCGGCGACACGGGAATTGCTTTATTAACGTTTCCGCTAAATGGCCGTGCAATCGAATGCGCGAGCGACACGATATTTGCGCGTAGCGCAAGATTGCACGGCGATAAACGAGAAATGTATACGGGAAAGAGGGGCGGGGAGAGGCATGTACATGTCGTTAAGAAGGTAACGTGAATCGACATTTCCGGCGTTCCTTACCTTTGCCGACGATTCGAGTGGGTTCCAGTAAACGGCAATCGCATTGTGCGCGACTTCCTCTATACAACCCACCAAGCCGACGCTATTCTTCGTGTCTGTAACAACGGACGTGACTCTGAGACTCGCGGATCATGCAGAGGAATATGAAATAGCTAGTGCTGTTCTCCAGACTTTTAGATAGAATATTAAAATAACGGAGCATACGTTCGCGATAATATCTTACCGCTTGTCCGTTATAGATTAGATAGCTTGCGCACACAAAAAAATAAGAGATTTATAATTAGAGATTTAATCGATCAAGAACTTTCTTATTAAGAAAATTTATTAATTTATAAAAAAAAAGCTGTAATATCACTGTTATCCAGGATTACTTTACATCACTTCTACTTGTTTATTTACTTATTTATATTATTTTATTTATATTCCAAGTACCAGCATCGAGAATCCGTTGTTTGACAGAATGTTGTCTCCCGTGCCAAAACTGCCAAGATTTGATTTCGTCCTCCGGACTCTTCTCCTCCCGGAACATCAACATTACTACGCTCTATGCAACATATATAAATAATTATTAATCACATGACAGATCGCAGCACAAATCGAGAGTTGCGTTTATCTATACATTATTCCTAGAGGCAAGATAAGTTAGGGGAAACACACCGTAAGAGACATTTTACATGCGCGCATGTAAAGTATTTTTCACGATGTGTTTTAAGATCTTTATATTTTATAATTATTCTAGTACGCTCGAGATTTCCGTGCTTTATAATCAAGCTGGCATGTGTGAAGTATCATAAATAAATATCTTGTGTCTACAAAGTTAGCTTTCGGGTTTCACCTGGATCGGCGATATACGCGGGGACGTACATCGACCGCGACAGACGCACGCTCGAGCGGGTACACGCGGGCGTGAGCGTTTTCGCCGCGAGCGGCGAGAGAGCTCCGAGACGGAGGAAGGATTTTTCGTGATTCGGGTGAATGGGCGAAGAACCGCGCTCTCCGACGTACCGGAGGAAATATGGGCGCGCACGATCGGAAAGGAAAGAGAGGCCCCGTGAATAAGAGGTTCGCGTTACGCGGTTACACTTACTTAACCGATTTCCCTTGAGGCTCGCGCCGCGAGAGACGCGGATATACCGTTCGAATCGCCACACACGCCTCGCTCTCGACGCTCGATTAGCAATTAACGAGGAAGCCGTAACTCGTCGCGGCGCACACGACGGAAAAAGAATCCGCCACCTTTATCAGAATGGAAATTGCTAACGGTGCGTGTGCACCGTGGCTGCCAATTAGAGTCGCGCGAGAACAAACGATCCCGTCTGACTTCTTCTTTCGACACGCCGCGCGCACGCCGATCGTCTCCGCGAATTTTACCGCTCCAGTCACGCGAACAGAACGATACCGTGCAAATGCTGCGAAATGCTTAGTGTTACAGTTCGATTAATAAGCGTAGCTACACTGTTAAAGGGGAGCAATGATAACTCAATCCTTTCAGTAAGATCCCCTTAACATTTTGTTATTTTTAATTTTCACACGTGTCAAAATGTAAATCAATCTTTTTCTGTGATTAGTTTCAGAGTAAACAACATCCATATGCAATAAATAATAAACTATTTTTTAATCAAGTTTAATACATTTCTTTCAGTTACATTGTTTTCTTAAGTAAATTGTTTAACTCCATTATTTCAATTAAATTAACGACATATTGAGTAGCATCAGAGACAATCCATACACTAAAAAAAGTGTACTACATTTTAATAAATCACTTGTTTAAATAGTATCGACTAAATATTTACTAAATATAAAAATATGTTTATTTGTTAAATTAAATTAACAAGAACTGTTAATTTTAATGTTACTATCACTTTTTTATTGATTAAATTAAGTTTCTCTATTTACTATGAGTAAGTTTTAGTCGACAATACTCTGATAAACATTTATTAAAATTTAGTACATTTTTATCTCAGTGTAGAAATGATTAAAAATAATTCAAATTATTTGACACTGTGAATTTAAAACAGTGTATCCATTTCTGTATCTTCAAAACAAATATCTACCTACATGTATCATCATACAAATGTCGTTATGTAAACAGTGCAATTATCCTTTTCGCTCTTACCTTGACTGTCTGCCCTGCCTTGAGGAGCGGTTTGTCCGGATCGGACACATATTCCAATGTGATTCCGTAGAATTGGCCCTTGTTGATGTACGTTATTCTATCATCCTCGCGGCGTTGCGACGTACTGATCGGCGATTCCAAGTGGTATTTGAATCCGTAATTCGAGAAACTAAAGAGGAGACAGATAAGATTCCCCAAATGAAGCGTGGATACGCAGCTTCGACATATGTGCGGGTATAAAAATAGGTATACATGTTTAAGAAGCAATCTCCGTGATGTGCGTGTCATTATGCAGCTGGCCGTTTCACACTCGGTCAAGATTGAATCGCGTTTACTTAATAGACGGTTACGAACTTGCAAACGAATGCTCAATTAGCTGATTAATGCGCGATGCAATATGAGTGATTATCGTGTCATTATCGGCTAATTCTCCGCCAACGTATTCCTACTTCGCCATCAAGACAAACATACCTAAAGCCGTTTCGCGTGAAAAACAACCGATGCTTACGCGAGGCAAACAAAACCGCGCAAAATCTTTGCTAATTAGAACGTTCGTCATCGTGTAAAAAAAAAAAAAAAAAAAGCGATCGCAATCGAGTATGAATATTCCAATCGTTAATAGTGGCAGAACGATAATGAAGGGCTCGGACACTCGGAGCCTGGGAAGCTGCCAACGCGGAGTTCGCGCGAATTGGAAAAAGAAAGACGTCGACAGACACGCATCAACCTTGCCGGAGGGAGAAAATCGCGACTTCTAATCGAGCTTATCTCCGCGCCGGCCGCGACTAAGGCACGCAGGTAGGCGGGCGACCGATAACTTATGAAAAATGAACGTCCATAACCCGAGAGATTGAGGGGAGAGACCGCGATATAAAACGTGAGACGACAAAACGACACGCACGATCGAAGAAAGGTGGACGCGATGGAAAAACGAGAGCAAAACGATCGACCGCCGCGATCGAGGAAAATCTGTAATCGTTAAGCCGCCACTTCTCGTCTTGAACTCGATTTATCGATACCGGTCTCCATCGGTCTACCATTCGCTGCTTCAGCGAACTTTCCGAATATATTATTATCGTATCCTCGCGAGGAAAGAGTGCCTTATTGTCTTCGACGAAGCGCACATACACACTTTCGTGTTCGTGGCGCGGTCTTTCCGTTCTCTTTTTTCCTTTTGTCTCTCTGTTCTTCTCTCTTTTTTTCATTGGGGTACCGAGGGGCGAACCGGGGGCCAGCGTGCGTAGCGAGCGAGGCGATAACTGACCGTGGCGGGTGAACGCCCTCCTCTGCGCCTTTGCTGCTCGCTACCGTTGCACAGCCGCCTACCCGATGTGTGTACCTTGTTACAACTCCCTGTGTGGGTTACGCATGACCACTGAGTCTTCCTCTCTTTCTTCAATCTGTCCGTCTGACTCTTTCTCGCTTCTGTTCACGAAAAAGAACCCGGTCGAAAAGAGAGAGAGAGAGACAGGCTACCTCTCTTGACATTTCGATTTCACGCTGCGAGTAGTCGGCGAACTCTGCGATTTTTCAGACCCGGACCGAGCGCGACCCCGAGGCACTTGTCCGCTCTTCCATGAGAGTCGACTTCGGAGAGAGCTGGCTGCGACTTAATAACTTTAACATCATTGTTCATCTCGCGTCGGTGAGTATTCAGAGAGATGAAGCAAGAAATATTCAGGGACGCTGATCGTACGCGGTCGGCTCTAAGCCTCTAACAATGGAAGGTAACAAATTACAAAAGACGGATGGAGCGAAACGGGAAGTAGAAGGATCGCTAGGAAGGATGGATACGGGAGGAGAAGACCAAATGAGTTGGCAAGCGGATGTGATGAACCGCGAAGGAAATGAAGGGTACGCAAAGAATAAGAGGCACAGGAAGTTCTTCTAGCGGGCGGTTAGTGAAGATATTAGTTTCCCGTGAAACAGAAATGACATTTATGACTCTGTTTTTAGAGAGACGCCATTAGTTCTCAGTCATAAAGGAAATAAAGCATCTTAAATTAAGTCTCAGCGTGTAAGCGAAAATATTACACAACTATACGAGTGTTTCAAACTCCATCTTTGTTATTAGTCGCATCGATTATACGCACAATACGCGCGAGAAGAAATTGTAATAATTAAATTATTAATTACCTCCACATAATAATATTTCATTTGTATATTGTGAGTTTTGGGACTATTAATATTCTCTTACAATTATTTATATCCACAAAATAATGCCCGAATATAAATTCCGAGTAGACAATGAACCACAAATTAGGAATGTTCGTTCATCTGCAATCACAAGATACTTTCTTTATTGCGTGCATGGAAAGAATGGATTTGCTAGAATGTTTAAGAGATTAGCTAGATAACAGATCTGAAAATTACATAAGACGCTTAACTGGTTACCAGAATGTTAAAACTTTTTATAGCATTGCTCATTACATTTGAGTTTCCCATATTATAATTATTTTGATGATCAAATAAAATTATTTGCAGTATCTATATCTATCTAAATTTCTAAATACTTCAGTAAAATCTTTCCGTGTGGATTCGCAATTGCTTGTCCTGAGCAGCGCAAGTTATTAACTTTTATCGTTGCTCTTCCGTGCCTTCCACGTAATAAGACAAATTGATAGATAAATATCTATATATCAATCTCAATATCCGTCTACTTATTTATCTACCTATTCCATCGAGTAAATTGAGCATTCGCCTTTGCACGTCATTATTATAACGCGGGCGCGCATATTTATTATAATTTCCTATACTACCGTACAATCCCTAATCGGACAAATCATGTCAAGATGTAATTCTATTAAGTTTTCTTTGCTCTTAATCGAACGAGCATAGCTACTTTTAATCAAAACGAAGCTATTAAAATAAGGAGATGCTTCTTAAGCTTCTCACACACTCTCCAAAGAGATCAACGCTTGTGTTAAATATCGTTGTGTTAAAAATTTTTAACTAAATAGATTGTTTGGAAAGAGCACTTCAAGAATTATACATATATTTGAATCATCGATTTTTTTGATAACTGTAGCTTTCAGAGCCTACTTACATTTTCGGTATCTGGATCTTATCGGCGTCGTTCTGTCTGCCGAAATCGTGCCAAGGCCGCGATCTTTGCGGATTTGGATTCGGATTCGGATTTGTCGCACCAGCGGACACTAAGCTGCTGCGTTGCACCTGCGCTTGTGCGTGGTTCTGCTGCAGCTGTAATTGCAGGGGTTGGTGTATCACCGCTCCACTTTCGAGAACTACCGCTGTTCCGGCAGTTCCACCAGGACATAATTCTGTGTAGTCGAATGAGGACTAGAAAAAAATGTAATTTATTAAAAATTTATAAAAAATAAGAACTATATCTTTCGATAATATATAAAAGTCCATTTAATCAATTTAAATTAATAACTTTCATTTAAGCACTCTGCATTTTTTTATTCTTTTTAATCTTGTAATACGAAAGTCTGTCGTAAATTATATACATAAAAATATTAAAAATTTAATGACATTGAAATCATTATTTAAATAATAAATGATAACAAAGGCTTTATTGCCTTTCTCGTACAACTAATAATTTATTTTTAATTTATTTTGAAAGAAAAACAGATGAGATATAATGATAGTATCGTAACATTGATATATAATGTAGAAGAAAATGAAGAAATATGACATGTAAAAATAATGGCAGTTGCAATTTTTTCCGATCATATATAAAATCTCGTATAAGATATAGATAAAACGCGTTCGCATGCATGAGTATACTAAATCTCATTCAATTTAAATGCTCCCTGATTACGGTGTAATTAGTATTTAAAAATCTAATAAGAACATAATTATTTATCGACGTCATTCGTTTCGTATATCAGCATTATCGCGATTCAATATCTGTACACGTCCGCGTCTTATTTTGCATATCAATGCATTTCATTAGATTTTTCCGTACCTCACAAGTATCCCTCGATAAATTTCAAACTGCGCCGATTAAAGGGATCACTGGACCGATAAATGATTAACCGCTCGCAAACACGCGATTTCACGTGACTATCCCGATGCGTCCGTCTCTCTTTTTCTTGTCGATTATACATAACGCCGTAAACAAATTTCGATATATCAACGCTAATGAATTGCAGCGGAAAAACAGTGGCCTTTTCCATTTATTATTAATATACGCTTTTTCATGCATTTTCGTTGTACACTACGCGTATACTGCTGCCAAAGGCAGCGCGAACGAAGAAAGAATAGAGAGGAGCTTTGTGGTCTCGTAAAATCAACCGCACAATCCGCACACCCGCTTCCAACCATGGCTGTTAATAAGCGGCTTGCCAAACGACCTATTCCCTCATACGTCTTCATGCGATTGCGCGTCGCCTGCAGTTATTTTTCAATGCAACGCGGTTACCGCAGCTCGTTACCTCAACTCTCTTCTGTCATCCCGAAAAAAAATCACAGCAGCTTCTTTCTTGCTAAATTCCCTGACCACTAAATCTACCGCACTTCGGCACGAAGCTATTCGTCGTTTTAGAATTTTTCAAATGCTTTATGTATTAAATGTATGAGATGCAATAAGCATGAAAGTCGCATATTTTCTTCCAGCCAATAGTTTTGAGACGCGATGTTTCGTTAACAAAATTTTATCGCGTGTCATATACTTTTCAATTAACATTCAACGTTTTCGATGATTAAAACTTAAAAGACAGTATATCGAAATCCTTAGATTTTTTTTTATTATGCGACAAAAATTGGAATTTTTATGGAAAGAATTTGTTAATTTTCTAGATATATCTGAAAAAATAATTTTATTGGATTACCAAAACAATTTTGTTAGAAACGCAAGCTGTTTGCTAGAATATTAAAATTTTTTGCAGTATTGCTCTTCATTTTTTAATTTTCAACATAATTATTTTGATGATCCGACAAATTATTTTCTGTATTCAGCAAAATTGTATATATCGTTTTCAATGAAATCGTTCTTTCTATGTTAAATTAATTAATTTATTATAATATATATTATATACGCGTGCATGCAAGGATTTAATAGATCACCTAGCATTTTTACAATTTTATCATATGTGATTAAGCAAATTTCACACGCGCATGCGCAATTTATTTACTTATTATCGCGTTTCATCGTCGAGGTGTACACAACTGTTCTAATTGAGACGTCAACTGCAGTAACTGAATCAACGTTTCATGCGAAATCTGAGACGCAAATGCGAAGACTGTCTCAGATAAGAAAGCGCGCATAAATATTTAATATCTAAACAGGCTTAATCTTAAGCCAAGTAACAACCAGCTAAAAATCCGCGGGACCCGGTTAAAATATAATACATACGATTTGCATGATATTGAAGTCATACTAAAACAAGACGTCACTCTGCGTGTACCGGAAATTTACGATTAATTTAACGAGATCTTTTTTGCTAGCAAGACATCGAATTCATTAGATAGACATATCGTTCGCGTCTTATGGTCATAATTGGCCGTGTTACGTTATCTCGGTGCGATTCAGAGCGGCACCGCTTCTCAAATATTAAAGAAAATTGCCGGTGGAAGGCGCATTAGTCGCAAGGTAAAACGAGCGCGCGCGGACGGGAAAATTTAATGCGTTACCCACTTTGAATATCAACGTTTTAATTACGTACATAACACAAGCGTGCCGATCAGGCGAGCGGATCGGTTTTCAGTAGCACTTACATCCGATACCTAATCCGCCCGACCCGGGGCTTCAGGTTTTATTTCAACGTCTGCCGTGCGCACAAGCGGAGCAGAACGAACGCGTGCTTTCTAATTCGTAATGTCGACTGCAATGCTAATGACTTACTCTCGCGTGTAACGCGCGCGACACGATTAATGCTTCCGGAAGTGGACGAGATATGCAACAGTACATGAGAATGACGAATTGCCTGTGTCAAGAACTGCCGATATAAACGAAATGATACAAGCGACTATATTACCGTTTAATTGAACGAGATTCGTATAGAAAGAATCAAATACGCCTAACATAAAACTGATAAGTTCAGCGAGACACTTCGAAAGTCTCTTTTTTTGTGAAAACGCGATACGATTACAGTTTATTGAAATTAATGTCATTTCTTTAAGAAATTTGCCGTCCGATTATATAATAAAGTTCTAATATTAAGTACACATCTTACCGTAATGGACTTTGCGACTATTACGATGTTATTTATTGATCTTTAAATGAGGGGCTGATAAGAGGGTCGCTTTAGCAAAACGTGTCTATTACGAAAAATCTTCGCCGATATTAAGTTTTAAGAACCGGAGGAACAGGTTCGCTTTTTCAGTACAGAGCTGAGTTTTGCGATTTACCGTAATCTGAGATACCATAATTGCTCCTTTAGCGTATTATATGCGGTATAATATTAGCGTATAGTATTAACGCCTCCAAATTTATTGCGTCGGCGTAAGTAACTGTACGTGACGTTAAGATGGAGAAATTTGCCCGACAAATCGCTTTGAGAGCGGCGCGATCACGCACACGCATTCGATCCGTCAAGTATTTAGAGCGTTTTACGCGTAATACCGTGTCCGGTGTACATTGCAGGAGACACGGGAAATTAATCGCGTGAGAGAGTCCGGCTCTCTCGCGCGTGAGGCGTCGTCGTCGTGGGCGAAAGCACTTACTTGACAAATCGCATTGAAAACGATAGCATAACGCAGCAACACCGACACGCATCATCCACGATATCCGCGTGCGAATATGCTCGCAATAGGATAACGGTTAATACCCGCATATATTAACGTACCGAAGGTGTCTTTTGCAGCCAGGGACGAGCCGCAGCCGAGCGTTAACGAACGATATTTACGATATCGCGCCGCGAAATTAATTGCATCGCGATCGCTTATGGCGCCGTGGGCGAAGTCATTTGTACCGTGGTTGATCGAATTGAAAACGATAGCGCGGGAGCGGCTGCAGACGATGCCATCGTTTCCCATCGCTGCCACCTCTCTCGATTGAGCTACGGTTATTTCGCGTCTCGGGGCACAGCGATTCTGCCTCGGTCAAACGTTCTAGAGCATATATTTTTCTCGGACAATTAATGACGCTGCTGCGGCACGCTATCCGCGCGTAATTCAGTAGCGAGCACCTCCGAGTAGTAAATATTTCTTCACGTATCCCCCCCCGTTAACTTCGATCCCCGCTGACGAGACAGCCGCGGGATCCCGCTCCGATCGTGGCTTGCTCTTGGTAACGTCGCCCGCTGATTGCAATTTATATATAGACGTGAGCCATTTACGATCGTCCCTGTCGGCTAACTTCGTGTCATCATCTTACGCCTGGGTAGTGTTAATATTACGTGGCAGAGCAATATGTTACACGCGATGATCGTTTTATTCCATTTCGGAAGCTTTTCAGCTCTCTCTCTACGTTCAGTGTTCCGAACTATACGTTAGCTATTTATATTATGAAATATCAGCAAATTTCTTCCGTGGAATTTCTTGTCCAACTCGTTTGTCCGTTTTATCATGGTAATTTCCACCCTGAACTTATACTATCATCCGCGCGACTTTAGTGACTTTATCGTATCAGAAAAACAAGAGATCTTTATTCGATTCGATCGTTAACGATATAGCTCGTAAACGCATCCACGCCTATTGCTCGAAAACACACATTGACGATGCATATAAGAGAATAATCTCGCTTTTAATCTCTATATGATGGGAAGCCACACTATATAGTGGTGTCGAAATAATGTGTGTCAATACTATTTGAAGCAATGTAATGAAATAACGAATATTATAAAAAATTTTATTCCAGGAAAAATTGTAAGATTTTAAAAATAGAGACCCATCCTCGAAAAGTTAAAAGCTGAACGTATCGGTTGATCAGAGGAATGAAATTAATCGCGCTCGTAGACTCACCTGATGAAGGGCCGTGGTTGGATGATGGTCCTGTCTGGGCGTTACCGCGTCGGCGCCTATACCAGAGTCAGGGCTGGGAAGGTCAACGGTCAGGACTTTGCTGTTGCTCGAAGAAGAGCGTATCGCGTGTGTCGTAGCGTATGAGCTCGGCACAACCTCGTACCTCGTATACGAAGCAGTCGTGGTGGATAGCGAAGACGCGGAGCTGGATGAAGCGAGTGGCGGCAGTGCGTCACCGGCGACGTAGACTGTCGTCGCCTCCTGATGGAGGCCACCACCCGGATTCGCCGTTGCATTTCCCGTTCCGGTTGCCGACGTAGACGTGTAGGCAGTCGACTGTAATCTCGGACTGCACGACGTGTAGGGGTCGTAAGGGCTGCCGTACTGCTGCACCTGTACACCCGTCAATTGCGGTTATAACTTTCCTCCACGTTTCGAACGATTCGCCGCGATTGACGTGATGAACCTCGAGAAAATCGCGGTTTTCGCCGTCACATTTACACATCTTTTTATGTGGAAGAGAGAACGCGCGAAAATAATGCGAAAATAACTCGCGAGACAGTATGCTGCATTTGTGCAATTTTCGAGATACGCGGGAAGCGACGTTAGAAGAATTTAAGCGATGTTATTTTCTAGTATTATTATTTTCAAGTATTATCTTGCGACGTGCAAATCTTGCATTGTGTGATACGATGTGTTTCAGCGTATAGAAGTTACAAATCTTCAGCAATCTTTAGCAATTTTACACCAATTAACTAAATAACGTTTAAAGTCATTTAAAAATTGATTACGATTTCTTTCTTCATCACATTTTGGGAATAATTTTGTAACGCGAAGGATTGAGAATTCTTGTGGGAATGAATTATTAAATTAATATTTATATATATAACACGTATTGTATATAAAAAGTGTCGAACTTTTGAAAGAAGTAAATCGAATAAACGTCGTAAATGATCGCGAGAGAGGACGCGTGATTGCACTCGACAATGATTGTCTGAAATTTACCATACCTGTAACTGATGCGGATGATGATGATACATTCCCGGCGGTGTGGGACTGTCGGGTTGCGTCTGTTTATGCCGTTTACTGGATTGTTGGCCCCCGCGTGACGAGCTAAGATCTTCTGGTTCCCTCTTGACCCCGACGATGCCGGCGCTCGAGGCACCGTCGTGTCGCAGGGGTTGTGGGCTCAACGGAAGTGGAAGGCCACCCTGCAGACTCTGGTTAGGACTGTGAGATTGCTGGTTGTACTGGAGGAAGTGGTGTAGCTCCCCTCCTCCGGCACCTTCACCGCCTTCCATGCGATTCGTCGAGGCGGAACCGGAGCCAGGCGCCTCTTGCACCAGCAGCTTTTGGCCCATCACACCCCTTCAACAGTGCGTGAAAAATTGACCATAAGTTATAGCTCCTTTTATCGATCACCGACATCGGCATCGATCCGCGTCGCGTCCTAAGAACGCGTGACGAATTCGCGCTATGTATATCGAGATCGATACAACAGGCCCATTCGCCTTGCTTCCGTTTGCTTTTTATGGGATTCGCCATTTGGACCATCTGAGCATTTCTGATTGACACCGACCGCTCAATGAAAAAGATTGAATTTTTAGCATTCACAAATATCACGACGAGTGAAAGAGGATTACAGTTCTTTTTTTATATTGGTATCTTACAAAATTGAAATTTCTTCAAAATTTCAATAATGACAAAAATTTCTTTACAAAGTCTCAAGTATTAAATATAAAATTAGTCACAATACATAGTAGACATAGTTTCATTATTTTTAATAAACTAATTAGATATATTGAATTTACTATGAGACTTAATAAAAGATCAAAATCCTTAAACAGTCAATTAAAATGTAAAACTGTTCAATAATATATATTAAACAGTTTTATTATATATAATAGATATCGCTTTATTAATATGAGTATTGTATAGTAGTTTTTATCTTTATAATTAGAAATAACTAACGTTATTTAAATCCTACATATTCATTGAGATGATAATTCAATTCAAAGAGACAGGCCGTACTGTCTTTCTCCTTTCTCCGCGCCCTGTCGACGAATGAAATCAGCGAAGAGAACTAGCTCTACGCTTCCTCTGCGCGTCGCACGCTGCATCTGCCGAAATCGGCAATAAAATTTTCGATGCGCGGCGCGCGCGAAGAAACGCGATTCGTCGATCGACCGTACGGGAGAAGAATCGAGAGGATCGTAGTATTATGCGAAGTAGTTAACATGTTATATTTAGCATGATAATACGTATCTACAATACCGGGGACCCTTATAAACTGCCAACGCTTTCGGTGCATTCTCCCTCTCTCTCTTTCACCCTCTTTCTACCGTCTCTTCGTCTTTTCCGCCACGAAGGATCGCCCTTCACTCGTTCCTGCTCTCTCTTTCTCTCTCTCTTTATCCTCTGTCTCCTCTTAACCCTTTTCTCTTTAAAAAAGTACACATTCCTCTTTCCATCTCACTCCATCCTTTCGCACCATCACCGTAGTTCCTATACCCTACGGTCAGATGCTTCCGTACAATGATCTTTTTTTACACTTGATACCTGATCTCTCGTCTACTTTCTCTCCTGTTTCTCTGTCCTGCTTTTCCTCATCTGTCTCGCAATACGAAGGGTAACGCCGAGAGGAAGTCTCTCGATGACTATCCCGCGTGGTGCGTCTCGGGTCGCCCTCGGCACACTTGTGCCTGAAGAGGTGCGGATAGGCTCCAAAGATCGTGGCCGAGACTGCAGGGAAAAGACGGCGGGTAAAACTCAGCCGCGACGAGATCGGCGGGCACGTTCTTTTAGCAAGCGAAGAGAATGCGCCGTCATCACCCGGGGCCATAGCGGCAAAATTTGAGCCTCATGAATTCGGCTTATGTGAAATGGATCCGTTCGCGCGCTCTCCATTCGCGACGCTTCTCGCGAGAGCGTTTCCCAATAATGCGATGCTAATCCGAGAACGCGCGATGCGAAACGGGATTCGCGTGCACGCACCTTGGAAACCCGATATGCACCCCTGGAAATGTGGGATCGTTAGGTGTGAGGTATCAGATTGCAGACCGCGTCTGACTGGCGTTTTAGGCTCTCGGGAACGTAAGTAGTTCTGTGCAACTGTCATCAACACATCTTCATCAGAGATCCCTTCGATTCATGACGGAAGTTTTTGTTAATTAAAAAAGTATCATCGTAATTTAAAACGTTTTCTTACCTTGTGACAAATTTTGATGATATTCTCTTCTAGGAACTCTCTTTACATATTCTTGATACAACTTCATATCAAGAATAAATATTAAATATATATTGGATCCATAATCCGCAGGACACTTTTTTCGGACTAAACCTTGGCACGATCTTTCGTGATAGTAACATTAAACGATGTACAAAACCAAGTATTTTTTTCGTTTCTCCATAGCTGTCGAAGAGATAAGTACTGAATGTTAGTGATCGGACGAGAAAAAAAAACATACGAGAAAAAAGAAGTTTAACGTAAAACAAAGGAGAAAAAGTTCAGTATTGTTTCATCACTTATTTCATAGATGCGTATGTTACGGTTTTATTTATCTTTATCCATGTTCAATTCATGCGAGAAATATTGACAGGTATAATATATTGCTTGATACTCAAGCAGATATTCGTAGTACATATATATACTAGGTCAGAAGCGTGATAAAAGTCAACGTGTTACAACTTTTTGATAAGACAATGCCTCGGAAAACAACTATAAAGATATGTTATCATGACTATAAAAACTTCTGACCAGAAAATTGTTAGCTTTGATATGTAATTTGTAATTTATGACTTATGAGAATGTCATAATACTCGTCAAGTTTTTTCTCCATTATTATTATTATTATTGATGTTGTTGTATTACTGTGTAATGACTTGTGATTTTACGTATATAATGTATGTAGATGTAGTTAGAAAACTGTCAAGCAACTATCTTTTAAACTTTAAAGTGTTCCTTTTTCGGCAATTGGAAAATATAGAAATGTAACACGAGAACAAAACAAAAATTCTAAAAATCGCAATATACCGCCCAATCACGTGAGATATTCGTAGAAATCTGTCATCCTGAATGAAATATACGAGTAAACACGACAAAAGAGAGAGAGAGAGAGAGAAACGTATTTATAAAATGCCGACGATGTTGACGTGCGTATATCGTTTCTTTTATCGTTTTACCTCTACACCTCCCTTCCTCCCTCCTCTCAGGAAACGCTAGTCTTCGGCGACCAATAGAGGAGATCAAAGAAGATCAGAGAGCTACATTCTTTTTCCATGCGTGTGGAAAATCTTGTTAATTACATCGGTATCCGCAGCATGTTGTCTCTCGCTTCCTTAAAGCTATAGATATTAGTCTTCGGCGACCAATAGAGGAGATCAAAGAAGATCAGAGAGCTACATTCTTTTTCCATGCGGAAAATCTTGTTAATTACATCGGTATCCGCAGCATGTTGTCTCTCGCTTCCTTAAAGCTGTAGATCTATCAAAGTAAAACAAACCTTTTACCCGAGCCGACAACTTTCCTATTGGCTATTTCGACTGCTGTCAGATTATCGTCCATAGTTAATTCTTGATACAGTTATTAGGGCAAATATAAAGAATCTTTGTGTTACTCTGATACATGTATCTAGAGTTCTGCGTCTCCTCTTGGAAGATCAATACGCGCCGCGCACAAATTCGTGCTTCTCGCTGCAAACGAGTAAATTATTACCGCGCGTCGCGTTATACAGTCTACTGTGGCATTCCATCGTGGTTTTTTTTTTTTTATTACTACATCGCGTCTCCGCTATCCATCGCATGCGGCGACCGCGCAACGCGCGCGTACCGTGCGGTAAGTACGAGCGCAAGAGGCAATTATGTGCTTACGGTGCAGTATTATCGACGACAAGGCTTTCCACCCCGGCGCGGCGGCAACGGCGGCCCGACATACGAACCCGCGGATCGCCGAGGTTACCACAGGGTCGCGACATGCCTGGCTATTTGTACGTAAGTATACGCGAATTATGCGCACACGAACGCACCGTGCTTCGTCGAGCGACCTACAGCGCAGCGTCGGGACGCGGCTTGCGGTACCGAGGCTGCGGATCAGCCTCGCGATAAACCCCTGCCTCGGAATCGGAATCAGGCATTTCTTAAACCGGAAATCAGGCGTACACCGCGGTACCCGCTGCGTGTGCGTATATATCATGAGCGACGGACCTGTCTGTATGTGGCACGAGACGAAACTCGAAAGACAGGTCCGACAAAGTGGCGCTCTACCGGCTGCTCGCTCGGGTCACTCCTTTGATTATTATTGCCGGTTTGCTTTTTTTTTTTCCATCTCGCGTCTGCCGCTCGCTCGCGCGCGTCTACGACTTTTTGTGCCTTTACGAGCTCACGCATGCACGCACGTCGGCACCTGTGCTTATAGCACGTGCCGCCGTGTCGTGGTAATGTCAACGTACATACATATGTGTATACGCGATGAACGGTCGGAGAGGAAATTTAGATGCGTGCGGCGTGGCCAACGACGTCTGCCACTACTCACGATGACCGTCGCGCGGCTTTCCTAGTGCTTTACTTCCTAGGATTATCGCGCGTTTCCTGGAACACGTTACTGTCGGTGGTTTTCAGAAATTATGAAACGTCCTTTGACCCTGATCTTAATATCGCATGAATTCATCTATGTTTTTGTAAGAAGTATTCCCCGTTTATTATATACGATACGTCCTCTCTAAAATTTTTAGAGTGAATTGTCTCTGAAATCTCTTAAAGATTAAAAATTGAGCCATTTAGAATAAGATTGCACTCGAAAGAGTCTGTTTTTCGAAATTTTATTAAATATTCGTAGTAGTGTAATTATTAAGAGAGATTACAATTCTCATCTTTCGTGTAGAAACAAATTTAAATGTATAAAAAAAAATCTTAACGTCACATTTAATGTGATATAATAGAATTATATATTTATTTTAAAATTTATATCATGAGGACAGTTATGCGTAGTCCGGAATTTTAATGAGAAGGTAAAACGATTCGTTTGAGTTTCGCAGGATTTTCAGAATTGGAGACTCATGTCTCTCTTAAAATCAACGAGCCAATAGTTTCTTCAGCTTCGAATTATCGCAAACATCTGGAATGCTCCTTCGTGCGTTCGTATCGAAGAGTGCCAATGAGCGTCCTATCAAATGTTGATGGTAATCTTACGCCGGAGTCGTGGCGATTTTCGCTCTTGCGTAACGATTTGTGGGATTCGATGTCGAGGCTGCTCGTGCATCGTAAACCGCGAAATGTCGCCGAATAATCGCACACTCGCGAAACTCGACACCGGCTTGTTACTTCCCCGAGGTCGACTCCTCGACTTTCGTCTGGTTTACCGCGATCGTCGA